TATATATATATATATATATATATATATATATATATATATATATATATATATACATATATGTATCTTTATATATATATCTTCTCTCTATATATATATATATATATATATATATATATATATATATATATACATCTCTCATATATATATATGTACACACAATATACTATCTCTCTCTCTCTCTATATATACATATATGCATATATATATATATATATATATATATATATATATATATATATCACTCTCTCTCTCTCTCTCTCTCTCTCTCTCTCTCTCTCTATATATATATATATATATATATATATATATATATATATTCTCTCTCTCTAAATATATATAAAGAGATAATCATACATTGAATCAATTAGCAATATTAAGGCAATTAATGGTAACATCTTTCGCTAACAGACTTAATATAAGCATTAAAATACTAACAATCCACTGAATGATGCGATCCTTATGTATAAAGTTGTTGTCAGATGGATCTGGTATATTTTATATATATATAATAAGTTGTATGGATATTTTATATATATAATAAGTTGTATGGATATGAGTTTGTGATCCAGGGTCACCAACTCATATACTTACAATTTATTTTATTAGCTCTATTACTGATATTAAGTGTATTCCACTATAATATATATATATATATATATATATATATATATATATATATATATATATATATATATATATATATATATTATATATATATATATATATATATATATATATATATATAGATAGATAGATAGATAGAAAAAGAAAGTGTAATAGATTGCGGTTGGGTTGAGGAATCGGAGAGCCGAGTTCGAATTTCAATCGATTTTATTGCATTCACTTACGTGCATACATGGGAAAGATATGAACCCATCTTTTACCCCACCCTCTCCAGTTATGGGTAAATAGCAGGACAGAATGGGTTCTATAGCCTTGGGTGGTAATCGAACTAGAAGAAGGACAACTCAGAATTTACTAAAAACATACTGACGTTGGTTTTGGGATCGTGTGACAATCTGTGCATCAGTTCACTAACATTCGGCTTATCGAATAAGTGTGCTTGGTTCTGCACAAACCTTCACCAATACAAACAAGTGAGGGTAGTCTGGCTTTTCGGTTTTAAGAATTCAGCTACTATACATACGTGGAGAGTCCAGTTTATATATATATATATATATATATATGTTATGGTGAAACGCACCTATTCTATAGTTAATAGACTCTCCCACCTAATATAAGTAGGAGTAGTAAGAGAAACGAGGGTCAGTCGATGTCGGACGACCGGTTTAACGGTTGAACTCTCTGCCTTCGGGTGGGGAGGAACCCGAATGAGGCTACGCCGAAGGGCGGAGTCTCCTTCGGGGAGGTAAACCGACCCTGAACCCGTTTATACGGGTTCAAAGGGTATATTTTTGGCCGAGACCACGGGCTCGGAGATCGCACGTTAAACCGGCCTTGTGCCACATGGTACCCTCGTGTGTGTGTGGGGGGGGAGGGTGACTAAATACGAGTCGATGTCGGACGACAGTTGATGTCGGACGACAGTCGAACTCTCTGCCTTCGGGCAGAGAGGAACCTGGACGAGGCTATGCCGAAGGGCAGAGTTTCGCCCGGGGAGGTAGACAGACCCGATCCCATTTATGCGGGGTCTACGGGGATTTTTTGGCCGAGCCTACGGGCTCGGGAACCCCACTTTAAATTCGGCCTTGTGCCACATGTGACTACGTGGGGCAGTTACTAAATAGCGTTGATGTCGAACGACTGTAGTCGACAGTTAGTCGAGTACAAAAGTAGTCAGCGACCACAACAAGATTACTCTTACACGTAATACCTATTATATCAAGTTCCTAATGTTTTGTACGTCGAACCTATTTTAGGACCGATTTAGTACAAATACAAGCCTCCACTGCAAAATAACTCCACAACAATATAAATATATATATATATATATATATATATATATATATATATATATACATTGAAAGAGTATCAGAGAGAGAGAGACTTAACACGAGACCTTCCCGCTAGATGCGGTCTTGTAGCTACCCTTTTGAACTGACATGTGATCAGTTGGCCTCGACATTCCTTGACATTATTGCTAACACTGTCCTGATAAGAATAGTAATATTTCTATAATAAAGCTATTTGCAATGAATTTCTATAGTAAAATTTTCTTCAATGCTTTATTATATTAACTATAATCGCACTGTTAATAAATTACATTGTCATATTTTTTTAAATGAAACATTGTCAACCATTCTTCATTTCAAGTATTAATGTCATGTTAATTTCTGTGGTCCTTAATCTACGTAATCTGTTATTAAAGGAGGAATGGAAAGGAAAAAAAGAAAGAAAGAAGAGCAAAAGATGCAGAGAGGAGGAAACAAAGAAAGAGAAAGTAGAACCTAAGAAGGAAAAGGAAAGAAAGAAAGAAAGAAAGAAAAGAAAGAAAGAAAGAAAGAAAGAAAGGATGAAAGGATGAAATAAAAAGAGAGAGTAAAACCTAAGAAGGAAAAGTAAAGAAAGAAAGAAAGAAAGAAAGAAAGAAAGAAAGATACAGACAGGATGAAACAAGGAAAGAGAGAGTCGAACCTAAGAAGGAAAAGGAAAGAAAGAAAGAAAGAAAGAAAGAAAGAAAGAAAGAAAGAAAGAAAGAAAGAAAGATACAGACAGGATGAAACAAAGAAAGAGAGAGTCGAACCTAAGAAGGAAAGGTAAAGAAAGAAAGAAAGAAAGAAAGAAAGAAAGAAAGAAAAGAGAGGAAGAAAGTAAAGAAAGAGAGAGAGGTAAGAAGGAAAAGTAAAGAAAAGAAAGAAAGAAAGAAAGAAAGAAAGAAAGAAAAAAGATACAGAGAGGATGAAACAAAGAAAGAGAGAAAGAAGAAGGAAAAAAAGAAAGAAAGAAAGAAAGAAAGAAAGAAAGAAAGAAAGAAGAGAGGATGAAAACAAAAGAAAGAGAGAGAAAACCTAAGAAGGAAAAGGAATGAAAGAAAGAAAGAAAGAAAGAAAGAAAGAAAGAAAGATACAGACAGGATGAAACAAGGAAAGAGAGAGTCGAACCTAAGAAGGAAGAAAGAAAGAAAGAAAGAAAGAAAGAAAGAAAGAAAGATACAGACAGGATGAAACAAAGAAAGAGAGAGTCGAACCTAAGAAGGAAAAGGAAAGAAAGAAAGAAAGAAAGAAAGAAAGAAAGAAAGAAAGAAAGATACAGAGAGGATGAAACAAAGAAAGAGAGAGTAAAACCTAAGAAGGAAAAGTAAAGAAAGAAAGAAAGAAAGAAAGAAAGAAAGAAAGAAAGAAAGATACAGACAGGATGAAACAAGGAAAGAGAGAGTCGAACCTAAGAAGGAAAAGGAAAGAAAGAAAGAAAGAAAGAAAGAAAGAAAGAAAGAAAGATACAGAGAGGATGAAACAAAGAAAGAGAGAGTCGAACCTAAGAAGGAAAAGGAAAGAAAGAAAAGAAAGAAAGAAAGAAAGAAAGAAAGATACAGAGAGGATGAAACAAAAAAGAGAGAGTCGAACCTAAGAAGGAAAAAAAAAGAAAGAAAAAAGAAAGAAAGAAAGAAAGAAAGAAAAAAAAAAGATACAGACAGGATGAAACAAAGAAAGAGAGAGTCGAACCTAAGAAGGAAAAAGAAAAAGAAAGAAAGAAAGAAAGAAAGAAAGAAAGAAAGAAAGATACAGACAGGATGAAACAAAGAAAGAGAGAGTCGAACCTAAGAAGGAAAGGTAAAGAAAAAAGAAAAGAAAGAAAAAAGAAAAAAGAAAGAAGAGGATGAAATAAAAGAAGAGAGAGTAAAACCTAAGAAGGAAAAGTAAAGAAAGAAAGAAAAAAAAGAAAGAAAAAAGAAATAAAGAAAGAAAGATACAGAGAGGATGAAAAAAAGAAAGAGAGAGAAAACCTAAGAAGGAAAAAAAGTAAAGAAAGAAAGAAAGAAAAGAAAGAAAGAAAGAAAAAAAAGAAAGAAAGATACAGACAGGATGAAACAAAGAAAGAGAGAGTCGAACCTAAGAAGGAAAAGGAAAAAAGAAAGAAAGAAAGAAAGAAAGAAAGAAAGATACAGACAGGATGAAACAAAGAAAGAGAGAGAAACCTAAGAAGGAAAAAGAAAGAAAGAAAGAAAGAAAAAGAAAGAAAGAAAAGAAAGAAAGAAAGAAAGATACAGACAGGATGAAACAAAAGAAAGAGAGAGTCGAACCTAAGAAGGAAAGGTAAAGAAAGAAAGAAAGAAAGTTACAGAGAGGATGAAATAAAGAAAGAGAGAGTAAAACCTAAGAAGGAAAAGAAAAGAAAGAAAGAAAAAAAGAAAGAAAGAAAGAAAGAAAGAAAGATACAGAGAGGATGAAACAAAGAAAGAGAGAGTAAAACCTAAGAAGGAAAAGTAAAGAAAAAAGAAAAGAAAGATACAGACAGGATGAAAGAAGGAAAGAGAGAGTCGAACCTAAGAAGGAAAGGTAAAGAAAGAAAGAAAGAAAGAAAGAAAGAAAGAAAGAAAGAAAGACAGGATGAAACAAAGAAAGAGAGAGTCGAACCTAAGAAGGAAAGGTAAAAAAAAAAGAAAGAAAGAAAGAAAGAAAAGAAAGAAAGAAAGAAAGAACAAAGAAATAGAGAAAGAGAGGAAAAAGAAGAAAGAAAGGAGAAAGAACAAAGAAATAGAGAAAGAGAGGAAAGAAAGGGATAAAAATATAAAAGGGAAGGAGAGTAAAGTACAAAAAAGAGTGTGAAAAGGACAAAAAGATCGAAATAAATAAAATTCGGTTTGAAAATAAAAAAAAGAGTAAAATTAGAAATAAAAAGCAGAAAATATTGAAAAATCTAATGAAAAGTGAATAAAAAAGAAAAAAAGAATAAAGTCCATGAGAAATCTGAATAGAATGCCGACAAGGCGTGCGTAAGGATTTTAATATTTTACGGAAGTAACGGTGGTCGACTGTGTGTTGTTTAGTGATACGAGAGGGTTTAGCAACTTGACATCAACCCAATACAAGCAGCGCCATCTGTCATCGGAGGCAACACGCGACAGGCACGCGTTTGTTGTAGAAAGGACTCAATTTAGCTCTGGCCCCTTTATACACCTTACAACGATCTTACACTTCTTCGTCTAACCAGTCTGACAAGGATATATATATATATATATATATATATATATATATATATATATATATATATATATATATAAGCTGTGAATCCTCTTCTTCTCCTACAGCTATGGGTAAATAGCAGGACAGAATGGGTTCTGTAGCCTTGATGGCAACTGGTCTAGGAGAAGGACAACTCTGAATTCAAAACCTGCGGGGTGTCATTTGGGGACCTTGTGGCACGTAGTGCACCAGGTCTCTGAATTCGGCCCTTCGAAAAGTGTGGATGGTCCTGTACGAAACCTTCACCACTATAATCAAATCTCATGTGCTGTTGTCGGGCTGTCGGTTTCCTAGAACTGATCTGCTTGACCCTCACGCGTCGAATTCGACAGGGGAGAGTCGAGTACATATATATATATATATATATATATATATATATATATATATATATATATATATATATATATTTTTGAACAATAAGAAAACAAAAAAATAAAAATTTTAAAAATTTAAAATTAGAAAAAAAAATATATATATATATATATATATACTGAGTTTAACAACAAAATTGTCCTATATATATATATATATATATATATATATATATATATATATATATATCCTGGGTGTAACACCAAAATTGTTCAAATCGTGTAAAATTGTCCATTTGTTAGATTAAGCTCTGAACAGTTGTATTTTAGAAATGATTAAAGATACCTTACTGGAATTCTTCAAGATTTTTATAACACTATTGGATTCTACTTTAAGCGGTAAGAATGTATAATTACTCTCCAATCTTAACAGAAGAATCATAATGAAATATTTCATAAACAAAAATGACATGTTAATCGTTAATTAATCAAAGCTAAGGATCGGAGACTCAAGGAATATTGAAATAAAGTTCATATATATATATATATATATATATATATCCCAGGACCATTTTCCAACTTATTCAAAATGATTTACGCCCTCTCTAACCTTCTAACTTTCTGTCCTGGAGTAACAAGTTGCCTCATACATTCCACGTACAATTTCATTTTCAATTCTTTTTTCACTGCTCCTTGGACTTCCAAACTCCTCTCTCACATGTCGAACGTCTTATGAATTGAGTTGGATCTTTTCTAACTGATCTATTTCGCTCTAAGATAAGTATATATAGCTGCATTTCTGTTTTTTCATCTACGAGATTATATACCACATCAGGCTGTTATTGCTTTTCCGATGATACTATGTATGGTCCTGGTCTTAAGTTTATTGTCAAGAAGTGTGTTATCTGCGCACTCTTGACATTCTTAGTGAATCCTTTTCTCTTCAGATCAAACTGGTATTTATAAAGTCGAAATGGTGATCAAATGTATTACGATGAACCACCAGATAGTTTACGTGTTGTTCTGCATTATATCTTTGCAAAGCTCATATAGGGTATTTTTGGAAGTTTCACCGATTTAAATCATTAGGCATTTTGTACAATCTGTTCTGAAACCCCCTGATGAGTGAACTGAACAATTATAAAAAAGTTTCGTCTACGAAACTTTGGAGTCGGAGTGCTGAATACAGCATTATTCAGCTAAGTGATAAATTTTATATTTGTATTAATCATATATATATATATATATATATATATATATATATATATATTCGTATATAATTATATAGTCCACACTACAACATTTTTGACACGCAGACTCACTCTACACATTTCTGACCATAGTTCAATTAGATCTCATTTAAATATTCATGAAGACCTACAGGACACTATTCGTAACATACTTCTTGACAACACTAATATAATAGCATCATCTACATGCCAAAAGGCTAAAAAATAATGGAAGCCTTATTAATAAAAACCAAAAAAACCAACACTTAATAATATTAACTTTGAACATGGACATAATATCATAACCGTGTTTTGAAAAATGAAAACATTTTATAAAACATCCATACAACAAAGTATTTTTTATTTAACAGTTAAAACATTTAATCCTTTGAAAATGGCTAAATGTATAGCCGAAAGCGCTCGGATAAAAAGATATTCGACAGTTTTTTATAATTTATCATCCGAAAAGAAAAAATTATTAGATCGCATGAGAAATTGTATAAAAACTAAATAAAAAGCACCTTGTCCGTCGTATTCAATGAAATGTTATGAAAGAAGGATTGCTGCCCTAAATACACAAATATATATATATATATATATATATATATATATATATATATATATATATATATATATATATAAAATGAAAGAACTTGGTAATCCGTATGGGTAATCCCAAGGAGGATGAAATCCTAAGAGTTCAATGTAAATCCAGAGCTAATATTTAAAAGAAAAAATGACCATACGCTCTCTGTTAAATTACAAAAAACTTACACTACCCATCAATTTTAATTTCATTTTTCGTTTCATTTCATTTTTGGAAGTGCTATCTGATGATCTGGCGTCCTTTAAAATGGCTCTGGTGAAATAAATTATTATAATGGTACCTTAAAGTGGTCTGTTTTCATTTTATATATATATATATATATATATATATATATATATATATATATATATATATATTTTTTATATAATAAATTTAATAAAAACATTTTAAATCATATACAATAACTTTCATGTTTCGATACTAAGATGATACTTTTTTCAGGCGATGGTAGAAAAAAAATGATAAAATGATTTATTAAAGAAATTTAAAAAAAAAAAAGATCTTTAACAGTTTTCGTAAGTTAATTTATTTCTGATTTTATGCCTCTCCTTTTAACTTACGAAAAGAGATAAAGATTTGTTCTTAAATTTCCTTAATCATTTATTTTTATCACAAGTTATCTACCATGGCCTGAAAAAGTACCATCCTAATACTGAAACATGAAAATTTTTGTGAAGCGACGTAAAATGTTTTTATTGTAATTTAACATAATAAAAATATTTTTCTCTACTTCCTATTGAGCACTTTTTAAAACTTTTTAAAAAGTAAATGCTATGAACTGTACATTTTATTCCATCTGTTCTATCTCTGATATATATATATATATATATATATATATATATATATATATATACATACACGTGTGTGTGTGTGTATGTGTGTGTGTGTAAGAAAAGCATTTATTAGATAACACAAAAATATTATACAGGATTTGTGGCAAAGAAAAACTGAAATTTATAGAAGCCATTATAAAAACCATTAAAACAAAATAAGCTGCAGTAAATGAAATCTCTTTCTCTATATGTGATCTTATATTAATGTGTGTATATAAAAAAATGCTCGTATAGGTATACGATCAATGATGTCAGAGGTTTGGAGATGCCCGGTGCCAACTCCTTGATTGTATGCCCCTAAGACTACTCCGGTCTCGCTTATCGAAACACGGATCCACATTCACACCAACTTGTGGAACTGTACGGCGCTTGTACAACAAAGTTAACAGAGACAATTTCAAATTTTAAAAATAAATTTACATTCCCTCTTTGATTGGATACGCCCCCACCCCGATATGGATGCCCGTCGCACCCTCTCCAAGTTTTTACTCCTACTGTATATGATATATGATTTTCTGTTTAACTGTTGACGCCATTTTCAACTGATTCCAATTCAAATTTCTGGAATCTAAAAACGCCAGAATTTATTTGAATTAATCTTGCTTACCATACTGATTCTGAATTCTGCATATTTCATTCCATATGTGCCGCAGAGGAAGGTCATGAAATCAAGTGTTTGGGTCACTTCCTGGCAAGTTGACGTTCACCTTAAACAAAATGACGTCATCGGCACTTTGTTCTACACGAACATTCTTTGCCTTTTAAACAACTCTTGCAAAGCCAAACGGCGATAAGGAATGGAGGACGGGAGAAGGGTTTGGTGAAAATGGATCTTTTAGTCTTCTACCTGAACGTTGGCGGCAAATTTAGTCATCATCATAAAGGTAACGAACAGCAAAGAAGAAATACCCGTCAAAACTGTATGATAATTAACTTATGAATCTTTGAAAGTTTTCTAAAAACTCATTTGTGCTTAGAAATTAAATTACAAAGCAAGTTACATCTAAACCTCCATCCACCTAAACGCGGTTTGAGCAATGAAAGATATATATGATTAATTTATTTGATATTTTATACAGTTTTACATTTTTAAAAATGTCCTTTGCATGTTGACTGTCTTGGATTTAGCAAGACGATGTTCATTAAATACGGTGCGCTATTAAATTTGTATCTTCTTTACGAAATGAGTGATTTAACGGATTTAAGGAACACGTTTTCTACTGACATAAATTGAGGTAATTATATTGAATCCATTGTTAGGACTGCTGCTAGGAAAGTTGGTTCACTGTGTCGTACCACCTTACACATTTATAAATCTACTATTGAAAATTGCAGTAATTATGTGGTATAGTGCTCCTATCTATCTATCTATCTATCTATCTATCTATCTATCTATCTCAACTTCAGATGTATGTATATATCTCTGTTCATCTCTATGTATCTCAGTCTTTTCATATCTATCTATCTATCTATCTATCTATCTCAGTCTGTTCATATCTATCTATCTATCTTGTATCTCAGTCTTTTTATATCTATCTATCTATCTTGTATCTCAGTCTTTTTATATCTATCTATCTATCTTGTATCTCAGTCTTTTTATATCTATCTATCTATCTTGTATCTCAGTCTTTTTATATCTATCTATCTATCTTGTATCTCCAGTCTTTTATATCTATTCATCTATCTTGATCTCAGTCTTTTTATATCATTCATCTATCTTGTATCTCAGTCTTTTTTTATCATCTATCTATCTTCTATCTATCTCAACTTTGTATATGTATCTATTCATTCATCTCTATGTATCTCAGTCTTTTCATATCTATCTATCTATCTATCTATCTATCTATCTATCTCAGTCCTGGTATCTGCTGAAAAT